CTACGACCATTACGCGTTACGATCGAGCACAAGTATGATCTTGCAGATCTGTTACGTTCTGCTTTATCACAGAAGTTAGGAAGCTGGCTCAAGTCTCAGTGAAATTGCAGGCTGAACCAGCCAGCATACGTGACAAGCTGCTTGCCAAGAGTTCCTAGGTAATGTTGACTGCTAGCACGAAGATTCGAAGTGTTCGGTACAGGTTTTGGTTTTCGAAATGGCCTAGCGAAAATATCCTGTCGGTCTCTTTTCCGCACTGGCTTGCATCGTTTAGATAAAGCTGCGCTTTGACAGAGTCCGTTGTATTCGGTTTGAATCTGCCGAAGACGTGATATGGTCGTTTCATCGAAAATCAGTCGCCCTGAAGGCGCGACTAGTAATACGATATATTGGCGAGAAGTAGTCATGACCAGCCCGGACACGTGCATTGAACGGATTGTGGTACGAATGGTCACGTGGGATAGTGGATCGCAATACGGCACTTATAGAATGCCGTGGTGCGGCCTACTGTGTTCGTTGAATCAGTTTTAGGATTACAAGCAATTTGTCGGTCTTCACTTTTTTTGGGGTCCACTTCGACGCACCAGGAGATCAAGTACAAGTTATGGGATGAGTTTTTCTTTGGGGGTTTCCGCGTCACGCACATAAAGTTAAAACGCGTCATAATGGCGATACAATAACTTGTCAGGAAATCCAGATTTGTCAGAAGTAGGTAATGTATGAAATTCCAGGTTTTAGGTCGCCGTGCAAGTGCTTTAGTGACTAAAGCAGTATTATAGTTGACAGCGACATGCAGTGACTGATGCGAGATTTGACGGAGCTACTGACGAAGCCGCTTTGTGAAATCGAGTCCAACGCTGACGGATTCAACTGACAGCGATTGCGTGTACGTTTGCTAAAAATTACATAACATCAATGAGCTTATCTACATTTCTATACCTAATACCCGGTGTGGTCTTGCCAACTGCGCTAAACTAGGTACGCTGACGGCGTGCGAATGCGCGAAATTGTGTTATGAAATTGTATTGAAAAAACTATGAGCTCGCGCGTTCAAGTCTTCTGGAAGATACCGTGACCCCTCTAGCAAAGGAGTGACACTCCGATCGCCGGCCTTATCATGCAGAAGTCGGTTTTTTTCGCGGAGAGACGGACATTATTTTATGTTGCCTTCGGTTGTAATTAATTCGTGTGCTAGCTATCAGTAGTCGGTACTTCATTTATAGCATAGACAGATAGCTCGGTAAAAAACGCATAATCTTTGATACGTTCAACCCAAGCTGCGAAGTGAGATTACGACAATCTGATATACGTGTCAAAACCCAAACTATTTTATTAACAACATGCCTGGCGCCTACAATCGAATCTATAAGATTTGAATTTTCGAACGTTAATGTATGCGTTTTAAACAATTGGTTGGCATTTCGAGCAAAATCGAGCCCGGGGGCACCGAGTTAATTGAACAACTGTTTCTTGCTTGTCTCGTCTGTCGTTTGCAATCAGCTGTAAGTCTCGATTTTCTTAAACTATATGTACAAATAAATAGACAACGGCAATATCAGAATTAATTTATGACAGACATTAATTTATGATGTAATTACTTATATACTTACATTTAGTTATATGCTATAAAACATTATCTAAAGCACCTAATTTAACGTGAGCGCAATTTTCCTTCGCTAGTACATTAAACTGCGTTTCTTCAATCCAGAAACATAGACGCATTGAGCTTAATCCATATTCTAAATATCTCTAATATTTCGGATTTACGTCCAGTATTGCCGTTAGACATTCCATCAGACGGCTGGTTCAGAACCCGAAACGAAGTATGTCTATTTCCAGGTTCGAAGCGGACCGCAACGTGCCGATACTGTCAGTAGTATCGACTACGTTACCGTCAGCGACGGTGACCTATACATCGCTACGACCATGTCACTTACGATATATGAATTGGTCGTCCAGAAGCTAATATTCAATACTGTAGTCCTAGCAGTGGTCCTAGGTGACTAGTTGTAGTCCAAACTGATAGGTGTAATAGTCACCAATGGAACTGACTATTGGTTCCATTTAATTGACCTGGGGTATACTGTGTAGGAGATAATTAGTACAGACATAAAAAGTAGTTACCGTTTGCACTGCAAAGTAGAAAGTTACTTTAGGAATTTTAAAAAACAGTTTAACATAGCTGGACGTATAAGGGGAAAGGTGAATTTTAACAAAAAAGAATTCTTTTGAATTCCACATGCGGAAAACATATTCCAGCTATAAATATGTGGTTACCGTTATGTCCTACATTATTTTTGCACAATGAACGACTAGCTGCTATAGACATTTCCATTCTGCATTATACATAGGCGCACATAAATTGCCTAGCAAATACACAATACACTTACGGTGACAAGATTATAACGGTTGAAATTCGCATAAATCAAAATTTTCCGCAGTAAAATTGCTAGTACGACATTATAATATTTTTTTGGTATTCGTAATTTTTAATATAACAACTCAAGATATTTAGTCCCGCATTTAGTTAGTGTGTCACAATTTTCTAGCTTCGATTTAGGTGATTTCAACATGCTGGTTTCTTCTCGCCCAGGAAACAGCTAGATGTTTTTACCGTATTTTTGTGCAATCAAACAATGAGAACCCAATATCTTTTCTCAGTTCGCTGCAAACAGAACTACAAATGAAGAATAAATTATTTAAATAAGAAAAAAAAATTACAGGGACTGTGCGTGTTTACTTACGGGAACTTTTTTTTTAGGTCATATGACCAGAAAGGAATTTTTCCAGTTGTACATGTATCTTTTAGTCTGCATATAACTTATAATATTGATCAGTAGTCAATCAAGTCGAAGCCATAATAATTGTTATTGCGCATAGAAAAAAAACATATTTGTCAAGAACTGTGTGAAATTTGTAGAACAGATTAGATCGCAGCGTATTGCAGCTGGCCTAAGAAAAGATATTTGAGATATTAGAACGGAGTAAACGGTTAAGCTTACGAGGGACTTCAATACGAGGGAGTCGATGCAATACAGATTAATTAGGGATTCAACCTTCTCCAGATGGCTTGGAAATGGCTCTGCTTTCGGACAAGTTTCTATGCTATGTTCAGGATGACTCCTCTAAGCACTGACAATTAAACTACTTAAATATATAGAATATTATTGTGTAGTAGTAATATGATTTTTAGTCACTACATGTTAATAAAGGCGCGGCAATAATAGGTAAGTTACTACTTGACTGCGTCTACACAAAGGATCTAAAAAGCCGATTTACTGGCCGCGACACTTTTAAGGCGATGTCGTGGATATAAACCTCTGCTAGTCATCACTCTGCCATTATAATGCTAAGTACATAATTGTATTTAACTAAAGCTATAAAGGGCATATATATTGAATCGTGGAAGTTGTCACATGCCCTATCTACCGCAGTAAGTTTAATCCCCACCTGTGAATTCGTAAAACTGCTATTTTCTCTACAAGTCACGTTCACATGTGAGCTGCTGGTTAATGGGCATCGTTTCGTACGATCTTAACTACACCGTTCTGCACCGAATCAATTCAGCTAAAGCCTAGTTAGAGTATTGCGTTGGAAAAACATACAGTTTCTAGCCATAAGTGGTAATTTTCTATATTTTGTCTAAGTAGTAATGATGATGGACTTAGTTACCCGCTCTACTCAAAATATCGGTGCTCATAATAAACGAGCCCGATATGAACATCGGTTTCTCGCAGTCCTGTCCTGTATTCATGTTTTTTTTTTTTTATGAACTCACGTTGCTCCGATACTTTACTATTAATGAAGTTGACACGGGCAAGCAAAAATACAAATAGCATGGTAGATCCGGTCACGCGTCATTGGCAAGAGGTAATTCTTGTTTGGCCAAATTATTGATACGAGTGTTATGCCTTTTGCGGTGTTTGCCGGAATAGATTGGATTACACAATTAAGTTGAGGATTGACGCTGCAGTCTATGAAGAACTGGGGTAAGCACTGTTCCAGCTGATAGATAAATAGGCAATATATATATATATATATGATATAACGGATTACTTTGTACTCCTAGAGGGGTCAAGCCCGAAAATGAGATCGTGTATAAGAGCTAAAGCACAAGATTGCTTTCGTAATATCCTGCGATTTTGATTAATTTAAATTGTCTTCAGTGCATTTAAGGTTGCCTGTATAGATGCCGTACTTGTGATTTAATCCCCAACAATGACACCAGAAACATTTGCAGCACCTCGCGAACTATCCGAACGGGAAACCAATTGAGGATTGCCTAGTAGCTGGAGTAATGTGAATCGTCTACGAACAAAATTTCGAAAAGAACACTTCATTTTTCACGAATGCGTAAAGAAACAGGTTCCATTCAGTTTTGCATAAAGCACTCAGGCGTACTATGATCACTATCAGTCGAACCAGAGCTAGCAAACTATTCAACGCTCCGTTTTATGCTTTCGGTTAGAAGCCATATACTAAACATTAGTGTTCGTTAATCTGTATCAGTCAAATCGAAATAAGAAAACAGCCTTGCAGAATTAAAGGCGCAACATATCAAGTTCGATTGTCGATATAACATTAGTTATAGGAAACCTTAGTTTCGGATGGAAACTGACTTATTCAAAAATGACCGCCATTCGAAGCTGGCGTGCGACTTCAAACCATTGCGACCCTTTAATCGAATTTTTCATCGTATATTTATTGCCTTATACAAACTGATTATGATTGTATGGTTCTGCCTTTAGCAGCTCGAGTCGTACCTATTGCTGCATTTGATAATTAAAAAGGCATTTATGTATCGAAGTAAAAAAATTTTATTCAGTTATTTCAAGGATTCGTATTATTTTAAATTTGTCTGCTTACCAAAAGTGTTACCTATTGATTTGATTAAGCCATGACGAAAAAACACCATTTGAGACTATGTGGTAGACATAAAGGCAATACCTGCTCAAACTACTCGTCTAGAGATCACTCACATTATAATAATGGCTCATTAGTTATCCGATGTAATATGTACTATACCACAAACTACCACGTTCGTTATCAATTTATTCACACTGTAAAATAAGTAACTTCATCTAAAGTATATTTTCTTGCTGCCTTTTTAATCGGATGATTGAAATAAGAACACAACTTATATAGGGTGACTGAATTTAATTTACTAATAAATTTCATACAGAGAAGGATGCAACAAACGCACCTTATGCGACTGACAATATAACCAAGTGGAAGCTTGCAGCGGCGCCTTGTTAGCTACGGCAAAACTTGTTAGGCCTTAAAATTAGGTATCCCCCATAACCTTCCATATTGCTAATATTCCCAAATGCACAGTTTATGAGCTATAACAGGCAGCAGTGCACCATGCAATAAAGATGTGGACGGTCCCCTGATGCTGTTATTGTGTTTGCGCGAACGACCATAGCAGTCAATACAGTCAACAACGATGAAGACTTTATTTTCAACTTATTTCTTTCTAACAACGGCTCAACTATACATTAGATAGAGGATATTTTTCTAATAAACACATCAATGTCCAGTGAGCAAGCTACTATCTAATAAAATATAACATCAATTGCAGAAATAGAACTTTGCTGTGACTGAAAACGAAAATTGGAAGACACCGTGATTATCACGACACGCACGCTCCTGCCGCTTTATTAAAAACACATGTTTATGGAAACATGCTTGTCGCTGTATGTAACCACTAACTGAAAGGAGATCATAGGGACACGAGTTTTATATAATCATTTGTTTGGGACGATCCGATTCTTGCTATTGATTTACGTTAGTTTTTTATATATATTTATTATACTATATTAAGAAAGCCTCTCTGTAGGGAAACTATTTTAACTCTAACAAATTCGAACTCTAATTTCTCGCGCATCAGTTATACACAGTGTGGCCAAAACCAATAGTGTTAAGCGTTACCGAAGAGGTGATGAAGTAAGGTGATAAAATATCAGGACATAGAACTTGACATCTAAACAAACGACGTTGTTCGTATCCACGACGCTACGTACGTCATTTAGACCCATCGCTAGATGGACAACGTTTTTTCTGTCCTTTATGGACACGTAATTACATAGAGACGCCTAGTGCACTATTGGATGAAACGTACCGTTTCGGGTGCAGACCGCAGACGTGCGCCCTGCGCTTTTTATTAGATAGATAGATTTCGTAGTTTTCTTGTTGTCGAGTGATTGTTTTGGATTGTTAATCTATGATAGAAAAAAACATTGGAGATATGTAAAAATCTCCTAAGTAGATGTTATGATAGCCTTGAGGGATCTATTAAACAAACAGAATAGTTTCTAGCCGGGGTCCCACTAGCTCGGGCAACAGCCAAAACTGAGATGCATTGTATAAAACTAGGGAGGCAATGCATAACTACATTCGACAAATTTTAGAAAAATAGTGGTTGTACATTTAAATAACAGTAGTCATATACACTGCAAAAAAACATTATTGTGCTATGGCAAGCTTTGATTCTATATAAAAAGCTTTCTTGCTCATTATGGTAGCATTACAAATGCATTACGGCTGCAAAACACAAGTTACTTTTCAATTATCGACTACTGGTTCAGCTAAGTTCACCACACAACTGAATATTACGTTGATGCTGCGATCCAGTCATTTGAATTTGAAGCTCAACTACAGTTAATTCTCAAAAATCAGTTCAAAATACACATACACTTGCATCCATACTCAAAATAGAATTATAAAAGCAATATGTACAAACATGTATACCTCTATATGGGCCAAAACAAAAGTCCTCATTCCAGGTTGATAGTTATGTAAAAATTGCTGAATTTTACAAATGATAATTGGCGTTCGTCATATCTTACGTGGAATAAGCTCGATGCGATAATGGACGACGCAGGTATGCCCTATTACTACTCATTAGCCCCCTTCTTCTGGCAAAGATCTATAATCCTATCAGTTGAATGAAGCAACGTAATTTGTTTAGTTTTTCACAAAAAGAACCTTTCTGTAACCACCATTTAGGCCAGCACCATAGTTAAACAGGTCATTGTAATTTAACGATGGAATGTGGTAAGCCACAGGTGTAGATCCTGTGTGAATTCGAATTTTGTGTTGGTCGTATTGTTTATAGGCGGGCTGCTGGCTTTCGTAAGAGGCTTTTACGTCCTGGCCGTGTGCAGGGATCTCCTGAATGCTGGCTTTGTGGTCACCCAGTGTCTGCTTGTGACGGCCATAGTGAATTTTATGATGGCCTGCGATTCGGGCCGAACCACTTGGAATAATCTGAAAAATAAACGCGGCAGAAATAGTCTTGGCCTATAAGCTCAATTTAGATTACAACAAAGGTGAACGAGAAAAGTGTGTAGTGGCTACGTAGAGGCTTTGTTCCAGATTAACAGAATTATTAGAAAGGGAGCCTAGATGAGATAATAGAAAACTATATTTTTTGCAAACTAAGGGGAAATCAGTATACTTTCTCTTAATAGATATATAGCCAGACCACTCACTTGTATTTGATATCTTCCGCACACATCAAAACATGATATCATTGTACTATAACAAAAACCAGCCGGGCCTAAAATGGATTACACTTAGCTAGATTTCTTAATTACAAGCAAAAATAGGCTTGCGTGGTTTTCGCTAAAAATGTTTTTCTTTCTTTGATATTTGTGACCAACGGTTTATGAAAAGTATTTCGATGATTGAGTAGTTTTCCATGCTTCTCATAATGCATATCAAACAAATTACAGATAAATAGTTAGTGCAGAGACCATTGTACCATAGTTATCTGATAGCCTTAGAATAATGGCCAAAGAGCAAATTCCTAAATAATTATCAAATGGGCTAATTAAAACCTTCTTTTCGTAACGTTATTGGGACTCTAAAATAAACTATAGTTACTATGTGAACACTTCGCAAGCTTGCTAATGATTTATTTTCCCACATCTACTACTAGGGGGAAGTTTGCCGCTGTTAGGGGGGCCGGCGTCTTGTTGAGTGAGTTACCATGACATTGGTCATTTAAGCGTTGGCAAATGGTTACTATGGCATATGGTTATCATGTCGTTTCATAGTTCTATTAGACAGAGCACAGATAACTCCAGCGGGACCTATCCTGACTAGACCTGCTAGTGGGTAGTAGACAATACCAAAAATTTCCATCCTTATTATTAAACTACTAAAGCACGTAAAAAATAATCTTTCTGCACTAAATTTTAGCGTCATTAGGAAAAAAATTTAAGTTACCGTATTATTACTAGTGTCACATCGCACACTTCGAGTTGAACTGTGTCCGAAAAATGTTTAATAACAATATTTCACTAATCCAAAATAATGGAAAAAAAAAAATGCGTAATTAGCAGTTTAGCCAGTCTAAAACCGTTCTTGACTTTTTCACTATTCGATTTTATAGCCTATGCGTGAACCGCAGTTCCGACAAACCTTTCCGAAGTCCGACGTAATAGGAGCAAAGGTCGGTTCGGACGTTTTCGTTCCATGTTCATTCGTTTTGATAACAGCACGGAAACCGAATTTGTCTGCTATATATTCAACAGTACGGTAAGGACCGCCTACTTCGCCGAGGTAGTACGAGCCATATACTTGACCGTGTGATCCTTTCTCCTGGCGGCCATTGATGTTATCGTGGTCATCCTTAATATCGTATCTGAACTCATAATGCCCAACATTCTAAAAGGTGAAAAATTAGAAATAAGTTTGTGGGTATATAATTGTATGTCATGCTGCTTCAATCAAAATATACTGAAGTAACGCCAAAGAGGAATGCTTATATCTTAAACAGAAAACATCAAAAAAAGGAGAACTGTTTTTATCGCTTCTTGGCGACACTTGTAGAGGAATGTAGGAGGATCCTTTTAGGAACAAACGTATACTAACGTACGCCAAATTAGCATCGGTAAGCTCCTGCAAATATTCACACTGATCTCTTCATTTAAAGCGTCCAAAACATGCTCTGCGGTACACCAAAGTTATCGTCAGTTGCCTCGGTATGGTAAGGGTAAATTAGTAGCAACTTTATTTGAAAACATTTAACATGAGTTAATCATATTTAAAAAATGATATAGATTTACTTAGAAGATACAGCCATTTACTGAAATGTATATACTTTTTTATTTTAATTCACGCTTGTGTTAAGCTAAAGTAAGCTGCAGCGAACAGCATCCTTGGGAGGCCCTAATTGCCCCCCCGAGAAACTGATGTATCAACTAAAGCCTGCCTATACCCCATTGCCAGTGTTGTTCTGCAAGGGTCAATCTGCTTGAAATCTGTCATGTTCTTAAAAAGCGCAACATCAAAGAGTCAGATATTAACAAACATTAAAGCAACTAAGATAGCGAAATGTAACAATAAACAAACAAGAAGCATGAGTTCGCCGGATCATTATAACACGTCCATTGTTTATCACATTTTTAAGGCGAATTAAGTTTGTGCACGAACGGTACGGCGAAACATCATTTTCTATATTAACCAAATCAATAGGACTAGAAAAAGAATAGGCCCTACGATAATAAAATTATTTCAAATAATTTTTATGATTTGTTCATATGTTTTTAGCTAATGATGAAACGTTTATTAACGTAGACGATTTAGACGCCGTCAAGAAAAGTGAAATAAATCAATTTAGCGTTCTGGTGTTCTAATATGTACACACAAAAATCCTCCTAGCAATTAATTGGGGACACATATATATATTATATATATAATTCTTATATTCCGTAATTATATAATTAGATATTGTGAATTGCATAAGTAAGACGAGTAAAAAAAAGTTGTGCACGACTGTAGCCGATACGAACTAAACTTAATATAAGTGAGTTTAATTGTTAGGGGAATGGATAGAATGTTTACAACCAAAACTAGTGGCGTTCAGATGTGCTGAATGTTTTCATCCACCACAAGATAGAATTATGTAAAAACTATTTATATCATCTAGTCTTCATATAGAACGAAAGTTAGTCACTCTGTAACTTAATGAATTTGACGGATTAAACATAGGCAACGTTCATCTCGAGGAAAAAACCCCGACGTCAAAGGATCGAGTTGCAATAGCTAACCTTGAGCACTCACCCATTTTTGATTTCTAGGCCAATACCCCACGCTTTAGAGCTCCGGCAAACACAGATCTGTAACCTCGTACAGTCGTACACACATACTAAATTGCAACGTATATATGTTCCTATAATGTATATATTTTATATGACTAAAAAGAATATCTTCGCTGTACTTTTCTGGTATCGAACTTTACAAGTTTTTTTTATCTATGTTTTCTACCCATTTTGTCACAGCATTGTTACAAAAGTCTTAATCTGCTTTTTGCGGAGACCAGATCTGCCGGCTATTTTAAAACGTTAACTATTGCAAAATATCAGAGCTTTGCGGAAGTCTATATGTTTACGAAATATTTTGGAAGTTTAGAACGAAATTTTAGATACGACCCAATGCAGACTATCTTAAATGTTTCTTTTCAAGGGACTGCATCAAGACGCTCAAAAATTCGTGCTACTTCTAACGGGATTGATCTAAAAGGATTGCCTCACTAGGCACTGTACTTATGTGTTTGCCATATTAATAAAGTAACGTTTAAACGAAAAAAAAAATGTACGACAAAAAATACCTAACGGACTTCCGAAACCAAACTAGCTTACCTTCTGTTTGTGGTAAGTCAGTGAAGATCCTCCGTTGGCACCGATGTGTCCACAGCGAACAGCTACGACGACTATGGAGAAAGCGATGACCCACTGTGACTGTAATAAGAAATGAAGACGTTTCGTCTTAATTATGGCTTAAAAGTCAATTACGTTGCTTATTGTTCCAAGCGGCGTCACACGTTAATTTTTTATTAGCCAAGATGGGAGAATTTGCGCGTTTGCCTAAGCATATATATATATATATATATATATATATATTAAAAAGAGAACCTCAAGCATTTTCCATCGGGTTAATGTCAGTCAGTAGTAAGGGGAACCACATCCTGTATAAGAGTAATCTATAATATAATAATTCACCTAGAAAAAGATAACGGAGCTGCAATCGCTCAGATTTACAATGGTAGCTAGAGCGTACAACAGCTGCAAGCTAGGCAGATGTTGTTTCCAGCTGCCTCGGTCGTGTCCCGTCAGAGGCGAGCACATGCTGAATTATTTCTTCGTACTTGCGGTCTATTCATTACGACTTTTGGTGAAAAATAATCTCATGTTGATAATAACGTCAAGGCAAATGATATGTTATCAGAACGAGCGCATAACACAGATAATGACAACGAGCCTGAATACCTAATGAAGCTTCATATTGGCCCTGGATCGAGCAAGCTACGCCGTTTTACGTCCATTCAGCTTCATCTAAACGGTTTGAACCTAATGAAATTAGCAATTAGAAACTCGCTTTTAATCTTCACCAAAAGCACTAGATTAATGGTCCAACACTTCCGCTAAAAGTCAAAGATTTATGGACATCGTAGATGAATTAACTGAAACCCCGAGAAGCTTCATGTGCAGCGGTCACATAACACCTCGATCTCCCAGTTAAACACTTCGCACCGCGCGTTGTATATCATCATATGAAGTATATCACTCAGTCATACACGGAACATGATGATGATGATGATGCAAGTGGATTCTATCTTCTGTCCTTTGGTCCAGACTTATCGGCCTCTAAACGTGGCAGTTCCAGGTAAAGTTACAACAGGTGAGCTGCGGTGAAAACTGTGCTTCGCGTTTCGTGGCCAATGAATTTATAAGCGTTTATCGCTACCACAAGAAAATACATCAAGCACTTAAGCTCCCTCTCAAAATTCGGACCAACGCCGATGCACCCCCCTAACTAGCATATGTGGGACTTACATGACTCCGGGGCGGGTTTTCGAAAACGTGAACGGCTGGCCACTATGACGTGTTCACTTTTTGCCCCGTCCCTGCCTTGCAAGCTAACCCCTCTCCCAAAATCTCGCCAATTCAGTCCCCCCATAAGCATTTCTGGCACACCCACGTCTGTGGGCAAAATCGGTTCGTTCCAATGACTTAACTAGGTTGTCGCCTCTTTTCCACAACTTCGCTACTAAGAACACAACAAGTGCCTATGTCTTCCGACATGATTTAGCAACAAGCCTGTGACATTTAATGGCTGCAATAGGTTTTTAAATTAAACGCTATTTTCGTGAGCTATCGGTGGCTGAATGTCATTGTCGTATAAACGCGTGCGATGAATTAGTTTTCCCATAAAGCCATCGGAAAATGCAAATGGTACGTTGGGCACATTCACGCTGCCATTATGTTTTCCGGCGTTGGTTGTACATCCGTTGAGTGTCGGCGAATTGCATAAAAACACACAAACGCCGTGATAATAACGGTATTAATAAGAGAGAAGCGAACTGAAGACAGAAGAAGCCCGTATTTTTTACTCTGTGTTGCAACTGCTATTATTGCTAGTCGCGCTAACAAGAGGAGTGAACAACAACAACAACAAAATGTCCCCAAAAACCTTAACCAACTTGTAAACATGCTAAAATAAAAACAAATGTATGATATGGTGACTAGATGTAGCACGAGGTGCAAATTGCAGAAACAAAGTCAAAATGTTTACAGGGGCATTATACAGTAAGTTTAAGCAAGTTACATGTACCAAAAGAGTGAAATATGCCATATCAAGTAAAGGAAAAGAGAGATCTATATGATTTAGCAATTAACGGTGAGAGATTTACTAGCCGCCTTGCCAGTGTCGGAGCAGAGCCTAGCGTTAAGTAGCTGCTATTATATTATGTGAAATTGAAGTAGAGATAAATCGACGCTATCCCAATAAGTGGTCCATATAAACGAGCCGTGTAATGGTTTCTCGTTCATCGGCCTAAATTAGAGGTTTAAGCAATTGCCAGAGGTAAACTCAACCTGGTTCCAAATAGAAGCAACAAATGACCTGATGTTGGTACAACTCAGAACGTACCAACACGAATAATCTAAATATTGGGTTTTACTTTCTAATGATCTTTGTAACCAACTTTCGATTAAGTAGCTAAACTGACCTTCTAATACCAGCCGCTTTGGCCCTATAATTCTACTCGCTTATGTTGTCGTTTTGGTAAAGAGACATAGACTTATAAGAATAGCACAGACAGCTAGGAACCTATATACGACAGCTGCACATCGGTCGACCTTTGACTGTCGACTTGATATAACGCAAAAGAAAACACAAACAAATTATATATTCTCTTATACCGAGCAGTAAACAAAATACAAGAAAGATAAGATCATACATTCTCTATGCTACGTGTCTTGTTTTTTGGCAAAAATAAAAAGTAATTATAATATTTCTTTTATTGATGCCCTAAAACAATGATTGCTCGCCTGGACAGACCTCTGTTGCAATAGATCAGCAGGCATCGATACTGCTTCGAGTCGAACGACATATATAGCGTAGATTCATGTAAATAAAGAAGGTTTCTTATGAGAGTTTCTATTGCACAAGCTAAAATGTACTGTTACGGACGAATCATTGATATCTAATACATTAACAAGGTTCGTGAGTGAGTAACGCCCGTGACTACTCAGTACTTCGAATTTTCCTCTCTTTCAGATAGCGACATTGAAGTAGGATGGACAACGCCATTATTTAAAGAAAGAAGGGGAAATCGATGAAGGTATACTATTTTACGTATTAGTATAATTACACAATATCAACGTAATTAAATAAAAGTCACAGGGACAAAATTTAGTATAGCCATTGGAAATTTAGTTTATGGGCATCTCTGATTTTGGCGGACCTAGTTGGATACGTAGCAAGCTAAAATACTATATTTATTTTTTGATACGCGCAGCTGCTTTAGTACGCCAAAACCATATTTATAATAATAATAACCATATTTATAAGGTTGTCCGCTTCAAGGTAGAAAGTGTTCTAGCGTTGATTTCTTTGCAGCGACTTCAAAGCGCGGATGTTGTGCTAACGAAAGTGTACGATTTGATCCTTAATAGGGTATTTTTTGTGGGAGGTCTTTTTTTGGGAATTGTATCTGCTCTAAAGTTAGATTAATAAACAAGTGGAAGGGACGAGTATAGGGTCTCTCATTCAATAAACCTTTTTTCTTCTTTCCCGACGTGTCTCTATCTAGGCTGTTGATATAACCCAGTATTCACTAGCCATTGACTACGATTGTGCGCCCATCAGTGTTGCGCTTCATTGAAGCCCCTGTTACTGTTTCGGCGTCATGATATTTTTCTTACCGGGAAGCCTTGTTTCTGATTCGTATATATTGTTGAGTATATTATCTTGCCACGTCTGTGCAGTATCGTCGGGTACATGGTGATGAAGCGTGGTAGTCAGGCAAACAGGTCAGCTTAATAAATGTTAAGGCTTTAGCATGTGCGTTAACGTAACTCAACTCGAATGAATTTTACTACTGCAACACAGTCATCTTTATGCTTCCGTTGAAAATCAGGCAAATTTTTACTCTTCTTGCCATAGTGGCGTTGTTTTTATGTGTTTTTTTTTCCAGATTTGGTCACCCGAGAAAGAAACATTAGATGATTAGGTCATAGCGCTACTAATAATAGTCACGTAACAATGCCAACGGGTGTGGTTGATAATAGAACTCGGCTTTCGCGGTCAATAGACTACGATATTTTTGTGATCATCTTCGTACAAATTTATTCTAAGCTTGACAATTGTCTAGATGTACAGATACAGATCACAACGTCGTGTTTTTTACTGTTTTGTTTATCAAAATACGTACTTATTAAAAGCGCGCTAAATGAATCTGGTTTTGTTTGTTAACATCGACTAATAACGTTATAGTGAGAACAGGAAAAACTATCCGAATAGATGAAATACCTTCATATAGCTTCAGGGCTACGATAGTTAGCATGTGTGATTAGTTTCTAAACACGGTTTTTAAGGGGGGCCATGAGACGGGTGGAGGGCACGCACCCCTCCGAGTGAATTATCTAACGGCGTAAAAATTATTACTAATGCCTAAAATTAATAACCAGGAAAGCAGGAACTAAATAAGGAATTGAAAAAATATACAAGTAGCTGCTCATGTCGTGTCAAAGATTCGTCAAAAAAAATCCAGAAAAATTCACTTCGACTAAACGCCTAGTGACAAGGATCTGGTCACGTAAAAATAACAGCCAAACATGCCATAATGAACCAAAATATGGGTACGATTTTAACGATCATGTTCTATTGCGAGATCTATTGCGCTGAATCTCGTATTTTCTATTCAACTCATTGATAATTTGTGGAACATTTCTAACCTATAATAAATATATAGAAATATATATATAAATAATAGTAAATGTCAAAGTGTTCACTACTACCTCTTAATGTTAAAGACATACGTGTTTTTTTTTTTGCACGACCTGTGATCAACGAATTATTGATTCAGTTAGATTGGTACGTCGTTTAGTACTCGACAAACTGGAGTAGTTGTTTTACGAAACAAACACAACGAAAAAAAAACACCTCCATGCTATACTAACAGACATCGTAATGAAAGAAAAGACCCTTTTAATTAACTTTTCACATTCTAAATAGTACGATAGAGATTTGAAAGCTTATTTGTAAACATAAGCGTAGCTCTGTATTTTACTTGGACGATATTTACCCGTTCATATATTGTCGGGCTCGAGAATTACCTGTAGTAAGCTAATAGTATAAGCACTTAGGGCAAGATAGATTGTTGATATTAAAAAGCGCATGATAATTGCAAACTGCAACATAAAGCAAAGTTTTTATATTGGCACTTAAGCATCGACGGCAAAAACAGTCTGTGGGCTAAAAGTACGCAAACTTTTTAAAAAAAAAAATACTACTTTCAACTAAAGCTAAACACAATTTTTCGTCATTAATCTCGCACATCGTCATTGGTCAGACTGTTGCTGTGCTTCTAAAGGCACGTGTGTATACTCTCGTCCAAACAGAGCCAGCGTTTGCTTATCGAACGGCAAGATACATCATGACGGACATTAGCCTAGGAAGTAACCGGAGTCTTTCTCTCAGCAGTGGGTATCTGTCTTTGAGTGGCAACATATGTAGTGGCAACATGAGTAAACATACGTATTCGAAAGCCTCTCCCCGTTCGATCAAAGCACCGCACATTTTTAATATGTAGAATGTGCAATTTTTACATTTTCTGTTTCTATTATAGGTGCAGCTATATTCAACATAGTGTCATAATCTACAGGGTAGGCTAGAACACTAGTCAGACCTGGCTAAACGAAACGATGTCAAGCTTGAGCAGAGCAAAATCGAGGCTTTCATTGGATTGCTACAACTTTTCGTATCTACAAAACATGGGATTATAATTACAATAGGAACTGTCAAGTAGTCATAGATCACAGGCTCAGGTTATAATAGGTAATTTCGTAACAATATGCAGCGAGGCAACAGGTTCAAGTATTTCATGCAAATGTCGATTCTTCCGAGTAAAGCGTCGTAGTGATTGTTACTATATACGCATGACATACTCATCCATGTATTGCAAAGACTGCCTTGTCTCAATACTGTAGTCTGGACGCAGAATCGGTCACGCGTGGAAGTGTCTGGACTTCGACGACGGTCTAGGGATGCCATATTTTATCGACATCAACAATTGATAATTCTCTACCCTTGAACTCACCTAATAACTGTCACACTGTACTCAGTCATGTAATGTTCTGCAGAGTCGCAACAAAGATCGCCACCAACGGTACCTTTTGCTACGTCTAGAAAAACTATGTCACTACAATTGGACCGGAAGTCAAAGGTAGGCAATTGTTGGTTTTTCTTGGCAGGTTTGCAGCCCATTGTATTCTCCCGTCAATGCAACGGCACTTAATTTTGTGTGAGTAGTTAGAAATTCGATGGAATAAGAGCAAGTAGTTTCTAGATGTGTGGGAGCTTGCTGCAAATTAGATGGCACAAACAAACGTAAGCTGTGAAAATGAGGAATTATATACAAGTATATTTTTTAACGGTGCATGAAGTAATAGATAACGGACAAGAATCATTACAAAAAAAAATTGTGCAATTTAACAAGATTTAAGGATTTGGTGATGTGGGCTAATTGTTTCATGAAATCGTAACGGCCCGACGGCCCCGAGTGATTATCAGCCTGTGCCACTGAAGAAACACGATCATCATCTATGGATTCGTTTTTGTTCAGAGGAACGACACCTGTCTTCTGAGATTTTCGAACGGTAATTGTCATCGTGAATGATTCCCGCACACGCTTTTGCCAGTCCGACTATTTTATTCGGCTTTTCGAGGGAAACACTCTTCAAACGCTTCTTTTGTGATCTATTCGGGGAGATTTGTGAAAAGCTTGATTTCCAAAAACTTCATTCATTAAAATACGTTCCTTAAAGTGCGCTCTAGGGCACAAATACGGTGGAACTTTCGTTTGTTCCAAATACCAAAACAAGGGATTCCACGTTTTCTTGGTGTTATTCAAGCGAATAGTCTCGGCTCTCTTGATCACTTGTGATTTAGTGAACTTGTATAGCGATCATTGTCTTCGGACTTCGGAAGGCAACTCTGACCGTTTCCATAGTCAAAGACATCTTTTTGTCTGAAAACTGATCGTGCCGTAGAAAAAAACGTCGTAGACAATCCTTCGTTAGCACGTGCCAGTTGTCGGGGACGTTTACGTTCAGTTGGCTTGATAATTAAACCCACCTTGGATATGGAATAACTTTACATAGTTCTTTCGTATCGGGCAATAAAGTTCTTAATACGCATCGAACACAATCGCGAATGGATGTATGTTGATACAGGCAGTCCTCTGTGTGCGATAACTGCAACTGGTTTTTTCACAGGGCTATCTTTATCAGTCAGTATTCGTTGTATATACGTATCATTTTGTCCACTGTAGCATTTTCTACGAAAGAAGGTAGAAGATATGATCTCGATCCGTCCCGCATAAGCAAGGACGGTATGGAGTATCGGAACTGGCTATTTTAGGTGATCGCCTGATGCAGAGCATCCAGCAATAATTTACAGGACACGGCGTTCAAATCATGTTGGAACATAACATATTTAAATATATGATACATTTGTCAGCAGAATTGCGCAGTCTCGACGATGCACTATTAAAACAGTTTTACTATGCTATTTAATAAATTGGCAGTAACAAGCGCTACTGTAGAAAATTACAAAACATGAGATTCGAAATCTGTGGCTATAATTTGGCACTGATCAATAGGGTAGAGCGTTTAAATAATTTCGACGATGCTGTAGGAAAACACCGACGTTTTTTTTGTTATAAAAGTTCTACGTAATACTGATCTATATCGTGCTCTCTCACTTTCGCAACCAAGGTAATCCTATAATTTAACCTATAATTTAATTTTAATTTAATGTACGGATCCCAATGAACGTAATAGCGTTTGATTTTCTAAAATTAAAAAATAGCGACGTGAATCGCACAAAAATAGCTTGCGTACAATTCCGAAATTTTAATGGTATTGAAATTTAAGATCAATGTTCTCTTACTAAAGATGAGACCCAGCCGGCCATATAGCGTCCCCTCCATATAGCCCTAATCTCCCTTATTATTTCAGAATCTTCAATGCCAAAGTTAAAGGATGCTAGTTTCGATTTTCAATCGTCGTCCACAAATAACGTTGTTTCATAACTTTGGTAATTTGTATACGCACCATACATTCAAGCTTGTCCCTAAGTTGGGCTAAGTTACGACATTTAGGAATTTTCGTTGAAAAACCTTTATTTAGCCAAGCATATGTGTCTTCGTGTTAAAATGCTGGATAGTTATATTTAAATTAGAAAAAAAAAATTAGAAAAAAAATTCTAGTTTTTCCTTTTTTTGAAACAGAAACCCCTAAAATATATGATATTAACCTGTATTCAACATATTAAGTATTAGATGAAATTTTGCACGATTCTTAATGATAATAACTCATTGAACCGACATAGAATATAATCATATCTTTAGCCGTTTTATGCAGAGGTTATGATGGAAACAGAATAAGTGTTGTATCTTATTCGTGGTAAAAATTAATTTGATTTTTCCATACGGGTCCATACGTTTATTCCATGACGGGGCGTTCGAAATATAAATCTACAAGCTCAGGCTACGTGCTAATTGTGTTCCATATCACCGAAAGAGATGTGTCCTCTTGAGTCTAAATCACAATGAAGAAATAGGTTTCGGAGCGGGCGATTTTAAACACTACTGTCTGAGTATAAAGATACAAGTAAAATGTTTCGCATAAGTGTCTATCTCTTTAGGCGACTAAAACACATAAAAATGGGATATAGAAACAAGCAAAAATCAAGTGACTGATCGATACTCTTGGTTAGATTGACGTATTGATATACTAAAGCAATAACAGAGGGGCTTTCTGTAAATAGAACAGATTTAGAAAACACGGACAAACAAATAGCTTCTCGTCCCGGTTGTTATATAGTGCTGCGCCGGTGATAAACGGTTCTTCAAATAACATGCACTATTTTGTACATGTAAAAAAATTATTTAATTCCAATTTTTTTGCCCCACTTAACAATGCCATCTATTATAGTCGTTAAAAAAAAGATAATAACCATATTATTGTGTGTGTCGAACATGGTCTATATTTAGTATTTCTATCTATACTTACAAAAACCGTTGCCAATAGGTGCTTAAGGATTAACTATGACCAAAGCAATCAGTTCTTTCAAGCCTGACATACCAAAAGCCACCATGTATACCGACTGTAACTGCGTATTGAGGTCTCAAACCGCTTTGCTTGTTTACGTCGTACATAAAAAATTGGGTTTATCCAACATGAGCAATGGACTATCATAATAGAAAGAGGTTTACTCAACGAATGTAGATATATTTACGTAGTTCGCGGAGTGAAGACCTGTACAACGTATGGTTTAGCTCCGCTGTGTAACGACTCAATTGGCCTGTACAATAGATCCGGAAGCAAGCTCAGAGACCCACTTGGTGCCTCAACATTTTCGAAGCCCGATGGAGACGAGGCAAGATCCGTGGGTTCCTTTTAGATGTTTGGGACTTAACGGTGTCGCTATTTATAGTGCTGGCTCTCATTGCCTTGGCCGGAGCTCCGCTCTTTTGCACGCTACTGCTACACCCAGGTGAGGGTACGAGTAAAAGTTATTCATTACGCTAGATGCATATTTCAAACCGTTAATTTTGTTGAGCCGTCCTCTATTTTTGCCTACTTAAGTTGCTCAATGCACTGTAAAATTACTCATTACCTTCATAACAACGGTAGTTATCACATCATTGATAAGTCGGCACGTATACCACTGTCAACAGACATGTTTGCACTGCAGTAGTAGGTTCTTAGTAAAGATCCCTTGAGGGTGTCGAACCTCCATATTATACAATCAAAATGTTAGCGTAATTTCAAGTTAACATTTCGTTAATAATAGAATTGGGTAAAACGAATATAAGGGATTAGAAAGGCTTTATCTTATCCTTGTGATATATTGTTGCCCTATTTTTGATTGTAGGTTATATGAAATTCTGTGATGATGGCGATTGTCCTGCGAATTCGCGCTGTGTAATAACGGCTAAAGGTGAACATCACTGCCTGTGTGTGGGGGCTCGTAAAATGGTTAATGGCCAATGCATGCTCTATAACGGCTTTTATACCCCTATGAAAGGAACCGGAGAAGAAGAATAAATACAACGATTATCACCGTACTGAGTACTAACACTGTCTTCAAGCGATTGCAACTATAGCTCCTGTGAGAGCCTATGACCAGACGATAATTTCATTTACCGTGACATGGATGTAGGCCAACGGATTTCATTGGTACACAATAAATTATTCTGATCTTCGCGTCACGCTAGCTCGAAACATAAATAACACTGTTTAACCATTTTATGTCGAAAGTACTAAAAATGTTTATTTATGTTTAGATCTAGTAACTTGCATTTCGAGTGACAGTAACTAGATAAATGTAAGTGTCCCATATCGGAAAAAATTCACCGGCTGTATGTTCAGGTTAACACAGTCGAAGAAGAGGGCACTGCAGCCACCATATACGTAAAAGTACTTCGGGTAGCTTTAGACTAGATGAACTATTCACGCTAAACCAAAACAAGGAGACTTGTGGTTCTAGTAAATGTGGTGAACTTAAAATATATTCCTGCTACATGTGTCATATATGTTTCTATAATATCGTGGATGCACAGCATATATTGACGTATTAGAAGTTTGATACAATTTGGGTACTTTCACTGATACCTGTTGCTGAGTCCATATTAAGGGCAATCAACAAGATGAGCAATAAAATATACTATGCCTAAAGCGTAACAGGTCAAACTATATATATTATTATTTGTAAGCAAAGGAGAGATGCTGATGTGTCATGTGTTTCGTGGTGACTGGCCGAAAACAAATTTGAAACCTGAAGGGATTTCAGCTTATTCTAGTTGAGAGATTGTTATCAGGCATTTTGATCAGTTCGCCTTATCTATCACCACCTAAACAAACAAAAACATGCCTTCCGATTATTCGTTAAATTCTAATATAAAAAGTACACGAGGAATGTCCATATCCTAGAGCTTGAAGTCGACACTCTTCGGCAGAACCTTGACAGGCTCGACAGCTTAACACCGAAAGTCTCCAAACGTAACTGATGCAAGCAGCGGTGGCAAGGCGATGAAGGTTAGCGTAGCTGAGCGCCATTTCCTATATCGAGGAACAACTGTATTGACGGTCCTATTTGTCGCGCCATTATCATGGAAACAATGTTTGTTATGGCATATGGATACATAGGAGGCTCGATATGTACTAGGCAGCATCAGCGAATTCGATTAAATCGATTGTAGAAGATAACAGAATCGTGAATATTGTCATTTCAGATAAATGATGGTCTTGTTGCAAAAAGACATATGCGATCTTCAAGTCAATGGTAACGTTTACCAATCTGTTTATGAATTTACCAACATTATGCTTACGTGGGTTTTTTTTCTAGCACTTTAGTCATCTCAGTTAGAATCTTTGTATTTGAAGTGTGGTAGAATCTGTTTACTAAAAAATGCCGACAACTATTAACCAGAATTTGAAAAGCATTCACCATTATCCTTTGAAAGGCCATCACCATTATCATCATTTTTTCCACAATGGTCTACTAGTGCCATTACTCCGAGCCCCTTACGCGTATCCATGTCTGGATATCATTTTGCGCGTACAAACACACATGGAGCTTAGAACTCGAAATATATCTCCCTTTTGCAAGCCGCTCATTGAATTCGTATGCAAATGGCAGTCTCCGGTAAGTGTATAGCCGAGCAGCGCTTTGTGGAACAAACTAACCTTAGGGCTTGCCTTTACAGCCATCTGTATACGAACTCTCCTTCCTTTCCTTTCCTATTCCTTGCCTATTCCTTTTCTTCAAAGACAGTTCATGCCCCATACAATGGCCGACGCTAAACTTGTCAATAGTGAGTAGATATTGATGTCGATCGATCGATTGATTCTACGCTCCATTACAAGCATAGAATTATATATGTCACAGCAATGAAATTGGGTTTGTTGATGTATTCCAGATGCCTGTTTTCAATTGTCTTAAAGACCTGCTGAAAACGTATACCCTCTACTTTTAAGTGTGCGAACGACTAACTACGTTTCCAGTGGGTTGTTAATGCACGTCACAGTGTTATCTGTATAGGTGTTCAGCGTTGTTGGCGTGGTATCGTCCTTAGCAGTGGCCTACCCCCTACAACTAACCGTCATACTTGTGGAAAATAAGCGGTCGTTGGCAAACAGCTTCTTTGTAGCCTATAAAGTTGATGGCTAGAACTATAAGGAGTGCGTATTCGAAAAATGATAAGTTGTGTTCTATCCATAAATTTCAATCCGTCATGTTATCTAAGAGCGTGCCTCTAAAGTTTTTCAAAAGCAAATCAAGTAGAGAAAATAGCTATTGTCTAATCGTCATATGGGTGATTTGAGGGCTTCTACTCATTGAGGATAACTGAACAATAACACAGCGCCTGTACGCATACTGAATAAAAAGTGTTTTACAACATGATTTAAATAGAAGTAAGAAAATGGCGACTAAGAACCATATCGTATTTATTTAATAATTACTATTAACAGTAAAGGGATTACTCAAATAAGATCGTTAAGCTGGCAGGCAAACATACGTTGTTTGAATGACAAATTAAACACTATCCCAATGTACAGTATGCAGAAATCATCTAGTTTTTAAAACGAAATTATATCTAGGGAGATTAACATCAGTGTGAACGTGTGGGCATCCAGTTTGTTAAGGCTACCCTAACACTCAAAACAGCGCACAGATATTGAGGCCTTAAAAAGAGTATACTAATACGATATTAAAAAGGTACAAGCAAAGTTGGAAAGAAATTACCCTTCGCTGTCCGGTATCAACGAGCTGCCACACCTTCACACCTCTGCGATACATGAAGTGAGCTAGCTTACCGAAACAGGGACGACTGGAAGATTATTTCGAGAGAAACATATTATACCTGGAGGTGTGTAGAACTTCGCGTTCATCCGTTCTACACTACGTCGTCACGGAGTACAAATATAGTTTTCGTTCATAATTTAATGGATACTTTTCGAAGAAATAACATGACATTGATCAAGAAAATATTTGATATCTTCAACGCAATCTTGATATTCGAAGAACGACAAAGGTGCATCGCAACGTTGTATCTGACTATACGCAGTAATAGGGTAGCTTAAACACTCGAAGAAAATTTAAGGTGACATCTGAGCAAACATGATGCTTTATCTGAGTATCTCGAACGTAGCTGACACCTAGCTATACGTTCCGAAATTAAAAACATGTTGAAAGATATGGGATCAGTGCTTTATACAGTATCTATATACAAGTTTGCTCATTATATCATCGTATCGAACATCTACAATCAGCTGCGGTCACGACTCTGAATAGTTAGAATGGCTTAATTGACACTGTTTTCAGTGCACTGATGCATCACCATTTAGTGCCCACGTTACTACGGAACAAAATGTCAAAGTCTTTGAAATTTCCATCTTATTCATCCGCCTACGTCCTGGCTTAGTCGGTTTGCATACTGAATTTTAAAGCAAGTTATGGTCTAGGTCGAATCCAGACGTAGCTACGCTTCGTTGCGTGCTGGGAGCAGGCCATCTAAAGTAATGCCTAATAACGAAAACGCCAGGGGTAAGGTATGAAAGACATTTTATGGTCTGCATTAGTTTCTACATTGGTGCTACCTGGGTTAGATAAAGAAAAACAATGGTGTATCTATCTCAGTGATGAGCATTCTAATTACTAGCACATCGTTCAGACCGTCCGGTATTCTGCTAGGAGCTATAATGTCGGTGCACGAACAATGTCCTTGTGTGTTTATTAGCATGATTTTTTTTCAAGGTTTTTTATTTTTTGTTCTTTGTCACAAACTGTTTTTGCTATGGAGCCCGATTTTATCTTCGGGCTCCATAGTAAAGTAGACAAGATCACAGGGAAGAGGTTTCAACATATTTCATTTGTTTTTTACGGATATCAAAACGGTGTCGTAATAAGCCGGAGCAGACGAAACGTGCAAGACAAGGATTCTGGGGCTGAGAGTGTTAGTGCTCAAGAAAAGCTCGTTACTTACAAGGAAAGCTTCTCACTTTCCATAAATCGCCTTAAGTAGCTTTTGAAAGAGGATAGCAGCTAGGTAAGTTCACATCGTATAATAACTACAAAATTCGTAACGCAAGGAATCGTTCCCGCAGCCTTTTAATACTAGAAAGAACGTAAACTAAAGCATGCTGACGTCTGCGGCCGGTGGTGAAATCTTGCGGTCTGAAGCAAGTCCTATAGGCCAAGAAAGCTGCACCCAATGAACCAAAATGCCCAAAATTCGAAAAGTTACAAACAGTTACTGTATCTATGAGCAAATCTAATACGAATAGAAAACACCACGATATTTACATATTTGGGAACTTATGAAGTCTTTGTAGTCGTCATTTGAAATGTTTTAAGTTCCACGTCGGCTGTTATTGTCCTTAAGCGTTGCTTCAGGTGGCTGGAGCGAAAGGCGTGGATATATTAAGTTTCCATTTCCTCATGCGTCCTTAAATTTAGTAGGCAACCATGTCAGCTTTGCGTCAAAAATCCTTGCCTCCTCACCCATGTGTATGTAATTACGCTTGCAAAGATAGTGTGCAATAGTGTAATAGTTCATTTTATCGTACTTCGTCATAATTAACTGTAAATAGATAGTATGCAGTTTGGTATATGTATATACAGATCGCTGGAAATGCACATCCCTCATGTGAACAGAACGTTACCAATAATTCTGCGACTACTACTCAAACGATTGTTGTATTATAATATTTACAAATTAATAACTACGTAAAGCTCTCAAAAGATCAGGTGCGGTTTCTAGCAGGATTATCCTCCTTGGACGCTTTCTGAAACATTTTAAAGACTGCGGCTGAAGTATTAAGGCGTAGAGCATTTCGTAAATGCTTCCAGAATTTATGAAATATCATTCGTTCCAAGGCAGTATATCCGTTACATTCTTAACTGACAGGCTTTATTTAGAACGAGACATGTCCTAATTTGATATCGAATATTGATTAACAATCAACTAATCACGGTTCTATCCTCTCATATAAGGGGAGTGGAAAAAAAGTTAAACTTTCTCCTCCCCAGGTCCTTTCTTTTATTCTTTGGCTAGGAACAACGTGGCATGGCAACGATGGCGATACACCGTGAAGCCAGTACCAGCATCTTTGATAGCTTGAGCAACAAGTGGTGTAGTGTCCAGCCTTAAACTCTATTGTAAGTGCACGTTAACCAAAGCAGAGTCTGTGTTTGAAACGAAACCGGTCGGCTACTATATAAATAGATGTGCATAGTTCATCAATATTTCGAAATATATATGATAGCAGTAAAAAAAAACAGTCCATTCCAGCTCTAGGCTAACCGTTTCGTTGTATGTTTTTAAATACTGCATCCATAATGTTCTATTTGAAACACGAAAGTGAGATCGGTTAGACATGTATGTTTGCACGTTTAGGTAAGGAGATTAGTAAACGCGCGCAGGCTGTATATTTACTATAGCCTTATAGCCAATGTTACGTTCTTCGCACGATGCACTGCAAGAGCGCTAACCGTGTAAATCAGTCTTCTTTCGTACGCAGATCACTAAATTTACTTGCATAAGATAGCGTAGCGATTTTTGCATTCACAAGGATTC